AACAAAATTAATTTTTTGAGAATTTCAAACCTACATGCAATGAATTTTGGTATCCAGCCTCCCCATTCCTCCTAACTCCCAGGCCTTTCCTCCGCTCCTCATCCCTCCTCCTTACTGCAATCCCAGATTTTTTTTCTTGAGACAGCATCTCTCATAGCCCAGCTGGCCTCAAACCCACTGTAGCCCAAGATATCCTCCGGCTCTCAGCCATGCTCTTCTGAGTGCTGGGATGAGGGACGCGGTCCATCACTCCATGTTGTGTAGGTGCCGGGGATAGAACCCAGGCCTTTGTGCATGCTAGACATCCTCTCTACCAACTGGCCTGCATACACCCTAGACAGGGCTGCCAAGCTTTTATCCTGTTATTTCAGGGGCTGAGTGGGAAGCCAGTCCTTTTTAGCAAAAGTGATTTCTTTCTTTTCCTTTCTTTCTTTTTTTTTTAGACAAGGGCTCACTCTGTAGCCCAGGCTAGCCTCAAACTCACAGAGATCACTCTTGCCTCTGCCTCCCAAGTGCTGAGATCAAAGGTATGCACCACTAAGCCTGAGTAGGCAAAACTGATTTCTGAATACCGGCCTCACGATTAGTTCATCATCCGCAAGCTTCAGTGGGCTTCTAGAGCCTAGAGATTTCACTGGGGTTCCACTCAGAAGGTGTGACTAATGAAGTCACTGGTCATGTGACCGAACTCAATCTCCATCACACTTTTTCTCCTCCTTAGAGGTGATGGAGATGGCTCAAGTCCCATCCCTCAGATGCTGGTGACTTAGCCTCATCCTGAAGCTGTGGGGGTTGGGGTCAGCCTCATCCTGAGCTATGGGGTGTGGGGGAGGGGGGCCCTCCAAGGGCTGCTCTGCCTCATTACTGTAAGGGCAGGTGTGACCCACAAAGTTCAGGAAACCGAGACATTTCTAGTCCTTGGCAAATCCCAGAACATAATACACGTTCGACAAATATTTGCCAAGCAGAAGGTACACTCAAACATCAGAAATTGTCAGGGGGAAGGGAAACAGGCCCCAGGGTTCTTCCAGCTGACCGGAATAGAGTATTAGCACACAGGTGAACACAGGAAGCCATGAGAACCAACATGACCTTACATTCCAAGCACAGGAGCAACTCTGTGCTCCGGGGTCTATTACGAAACACTTGCGGGTAGACAATGGAAAGGAAAACTATTTTCTTTTCTTTTGAAACAAGGTCCCATTACACATTCCAAGGCTCCCTTGGACTTGTTATGTAGCCCCAGCTGACTGTGAACTTGGGCTAGACCTTCCTCAACCTCCTGAGTGCTGGAGTTACATGCTTGCCCCATCCCCCAGCATGGCTTACTTCTAGACAGAGAATCCGCTCGAGTCCATTTCTCATTGGAAATGAAGAAGTTGATATTTGGAGCTGGAGAGATGGCTCAGCAGGTAAGAGCACCCGATGCTCTTCCAGAGGACGCTAGTTCAAATCCCAGCACCTGCAGGGCATCTCATAACTTTAACTGGAGTTCCAGGGGGCTCCAACATCCTCTTGTGGCCTCCACAGGCACAAGACATGCACGTGGTGCAAATAGATACACGCAGGCAACACCCATGTACATAAAATAAAATACAAACAGAAGCTCATAGATATTCTAAGTAGATCAACCCCTTTGAACTCTTTGTCTGAACCATTAGCAGATTTCTCCCCCTCCTCTTCCTCCTTTTCTTATTCTTTTGAGCCGGGTATCTTACCACACAGCCTTGGCTGGTGGCTGGCTTTGTAAACCAGGCTGTCCTTGAACCTGGGGCAATCCAGCTGCCTCTGCTCCCAGTGCTAGGATTATAGGCATGGTCCACCATGGCTAGCAAGAACTGTTTCTGTGTGTTATTGGGTATCGAACCCAGGGCCTTACTGATGCTCAGCAAGTGCTCTATCACTTAGATAGCTTATGAGGCTACAGACCAGACACTTCCTGTTTTAGTCTGGTTCCTGCTGTTTTTGATGAAATACTGACCAGATTTGTTTCATCTTACACTTCCAGGTAACAGTCCATGATGAAGGGAACTCAGGGCAGGAACCTCCATGTAGGAATTGAAGCAGAGGCCATGGAGGGACACTGCTTGCTCTCCGGCTCCCCAAAGTTTGCTCAGCCTGCTTTCTTATACAGCCAGGGCCACCTGCCTGTGGGTAGTACCCCCTCCCCCAGTGAGCTGGGTCCTCCTATATCAGTCGTTCATCAAGAAAATGAACCATAGATGCCCACAGGTCAGTCTGAGGGAGACGATCCCCTTAATTGGGGCTCTTTCTTCCCAGGTGACTCTGGTTTGACTAATCAGCATACTGGCCAAGAGCTGGTCTTGGATTCCGGGAAGTTCTCACAGTTGGTGCCATCCTGGGAGGTTCTAGGAACCCTGGGAGATATCTTGACACACTCTCTGCCTCTGTATTTCTGGGTGTGAGCTGTGGGTATTCACAACATTTTTAACATAGTAGAATTCCAGAAGCAACTCCTCAAACTGGATCTGGGTGACTTGAATGTAGTCTCAGGAAGGCATGACTAAAATGTGGTTGTAACTGAGAAAGCTTAAGCCTAATTCCACTTGGCGTGGAAAAAAAAAGAAAAAGAAAAAAGCACGTGAGAAATGAGATCAGCTCCCATCTAGAGTCTGAGCACCCAGAACGTGAAACTAAAGGTGATTGCCTGGCTATGTCCTGAGTTGGGAGCCACTGAATCATGTACGCAAGGCGGGTGTGACTGGAGAAGCTATTCTTCCTTTTTCTTTTTTAAAGTTGTGTGTGTACAAGTTTTGCTTCCATGTATGTGCGGACCACGTGCATGCAGTACCAGCAGAGGCCAGTCAGAGCCCCTGGAACTGGAGTTATAGATGGCTGTGAGCTGACAAGTGAGTGCTGGGAACCGAGAGATCTTAATCGCTGAACCATCTCTCCAACATTTCCAGCTCTCTTTCCTTTTTGTTTTTGTTTTGTTTTCGAGGCAGGGTTTCTCTGTGTAGCCCTGGCTGTCCTGGAACTCACTCACTCTGTAGAACCAGGCTGATCTTGAACTCAGCGATCCACCTGCCTCTGCCTCTCAAGTGCTGGGATTAAAGGTGTGCGCCACCACCGCCTGGCCCTTCTTTTCTTTCTTTCTCTTTCTTTCTTTCTTTCTTTCTTTCTTTCTTTCTTTCTTTCTTTCTT